GGGGGGGGGGAGAGAATATGAGCAGACATTTTTCCAAGGAAGATAAACAGATGGCCAACAGGCACATGAAAAGATATTCAACATCACTAATCATCAGGGAAACGCAAATCGAAACTACACTAAAATATCACCTTATACCCATCAGAATGGCTATAATCACCAAGACAAAAAATAACAAATGCTGGCGAGGTTGTGGAGAAAAGGGAGCCCTCATACACAGCTGGTGGGAATGCAAACTAGTGCAGCCTCTACGGAAAACAGTATGGAGATTCCACAAAAAATTAAAAATAGAAATACCTTGTGATCCGGCTATCCCACTACTAGGTATTTATCCAAAGATCCTGAAATCAACAATCCAAAGAGTTTTATGCACCCCCGTGTTCATTGCAGCATTATTCACTATAGCCAAGACATGGAAGCAACCCAAGTGTCCCTCGACTGATGATTGGATAAAGAAGATGTGGTATATATATACCATGGAACACTACTCAGCCATTAAAAAAGACAGAATCGTCTCACTTGCAACAACATGGATGGACCTGGAGGATAGTATTATGTTAAGTGAAATAAGCCAGACAGAGAAAGACAAACACCACATGATTTCACTCGTATGTAGAAGATAAACTAACACACGGACAGAGAGAACAGTTTGCTGGTTACCAGGGGGTGGGCACAAGGGGTGAAGGGAGGCATTTATATGGTGACTGACAAACAATAATGTACAACTAAAAGTTCACAATGTTATAAACTATTATGATATCAATTTTTAAAAAAAGCTTTAAAAAATGGAAAATGATGCAATTCAACCATAACTTTGTATATGTAAACTATTTTACATTGTATTGCAATATTTTGTTTCCATTTTTGTCTTTTCCACTAGATGGCGAACTCTTTGAGTGTATGGCCAGATTTACTTATTTTTTGAATCTTTATCACTTAGCCCCTTATCTAGCACATAGCTCCCCACTAAAATGTTCAATAAGTAAGTGCCTAAGTAAATACACAAATAAATGAGTGAGTGAATAGATGAGTTGGGCTATATGATCTCTGAAGTCACTTCCTGCCTCCAAGACTCTAGGTGTCTAAACTTTACATACTGTGGCTATTCATTAGTCGTTTAAAAGAAAAATTTAGTATGATCTTAGGAAAAAATGGGAGTGAAGTTAAATTCCAAAGCATTTTTCATGTGGAATAAAATTCATTCACGAACCTCAATACAATCCTATGGTTTATTTCAGCAAATTCAGCTTTATCTAGTGTAGTTAAAAATGTTCTGATTAATCAGATATTCTGAGAAGTATATTAGGACACCACTAAGCATCATAGAAGTGGAGGAATACCGATTAATGTATAGGAGCGTGGAGATGATAACATTTTGGCCTACAATTTTAGGGCACATTATTTCAGGCCTTATACCATACAATAAAATTTACTTTACAAAAAAAATTTAGTAGAAGGAAAAAATACCAGTATCACATACACAGTCTCGCCTCTAGCCCCACCGCCCCGGGCTGTGCGAGCTCCCTGCTGGTCCAGACCTCCAGCCCGTCCCCCAGCTCCATCCAGGCACTTCCCCTCCCCTGTGGCCTTTGAGGCCCCTCTCTACTCACCCTCCTGCCCCTCCAGCACCCCAGGCCCCACAGGCCCAGCCCTGTCAAGCAGCAGCTTGGTCCCTGGCAGCTCAAGGCCCACCCAGCTCCACACGGCTGCTCTGGGTTCTCCACCCAGTCCCCCTGTCCCCACCCTCAGCAGAGGCCAACTTCACATACTTCTGCACTCAGCCTTCCCTGTAAGCTGTGTGTTCTGGAATCCCAGTCATGTTTACCCCTTCACCAGGATCTTATAAGGCCCTCCCCAGCAAGTGTTCTGCCTGGTTCGCCAGATAGGAGCCCTTCAGATGTCTCCCCTCAGAGGCAGGCCGGGCCTGCTGCTCAGACCCGGAGGAAGGGCCTAGAAGTTCACCCCATACCCATCCGCAGGTCCCTATGGGAGGCAAGGCAGGAATCTTGCCCCCACTTCCCTGGGAACCAGAATGGAGAAGGCGAAAGCAGGGCAGAACTCTCTGGAATATCTTCTCACACTCCCAGCACCCTTGGGCTTGGGAGTGAGTGAGGGGTGATTGCTAACCCCCAAGAAACCATCCCTTCCCCTTCTCTCACAGAATCACCCCACTCGGGGTGGCAGCTGGGGCATCTGAGCCCCTGTAGCCTGAGCTTGCATAGCTCCATCAGCCGCTCCCTCAGCAGAACCTGGGCAGCTAGGGGTGAGTCTGAGATACTGGACGCTTCCCTCCCCTGGAGGAGATGGACGGATGGATGGATCTGTGGAAGGACTTGTGGCTGAGGAGGTGGATGGGTGGATAGATGGATGGATGGATGTGTGCATGGATTTGTGGGTGAATGGGTGAATGGATGGGTAGGTGGGTGGGTCAACAAGCTGAGGGATGGATGGATGGATGGGTGGGTAGATGGGTGGGTGGGTGGATGGGTGGATAGATGGATGGATGGATGGGAAAGTGAGGGGCTAAGTGTATAAATGAACGGATGGGCTAGTTGCAGTCTGGACCAGGAATAACTACTTCTCAAAGGAATTTTCTAAATCTCTGAAATATGAGGCCCTGGCACCCCCCAGAGGCTAGAGTCTCTAACTACCCATCTCCCCTAAAGCCCTGGGCACCAACAGTCCTGAGAATCAGCAGCATGGCCCTGGAGAAAGTTAGGGGTTCTGGGAAACAAAAAACCTAGGGTCCAGTGCTGGCCCTTCGCCTAACTTACTCTGGGACCTTGGGAATGTTCAACCTTCCGAGGCTCAATTTTCTCATCTGGAAAATGGAGCTAATCAAACCGGATGCCTGTGTTGCTATGAGATTTAAACAAAATTACATGTGTAAAGTGTCTGAGATGGTTATCTGGCCGTATCAGGTGCTCCCAGAATGTGATTTCTTTCCCAGGGGCAGCCCTAGGGCACGCATGCGCACACACACACGTACATACACACACATGCGCACACATGTGCACACACACACATCCCCCCAGCCCAGTAGGGAAAAGGGACAGAGAGTGAGCCCCCAGGCCAGACCAGACCAGGAGAGGCAGATGGGGAAAGATTTATTCTCCAGGGGTTCCGTGCTCTGGCAGGACTGGCCCAGCCTGGGGGACCAGGGGCTCAGGAAGCAGGGACTCAGACAAGGGCCCTGGGGCCTCCTGGGGCTCAACCTCCTGGGCCCGCGCCAGCTGGGCCGTGTGCTCAAAGGCAGCGTGCAGCAGGTGGGAGGCGAGGCAGGTGGTCCAGGTGAGGAGATAGGCCAGGTGCCAGGAGGTGAGCACTGCCGCGCTCTCCACCCTCCAGTACAGACGCTTCAGCAGGGCCAGGAGCTCCCGCACCACGCGCTTCTCCAGCGCGGCCTGGAGGGGGCAAGCGGATGGGCAGGTGGTCACCAGGAGCTCACATGGCTGCACTGCCTGGCTGCTAGCCCCCTAGCCCAGCCCTGGCCGTGCCCAGTGCCCCAGGCCTGCCCTCAGCGGCCCAGCCCACACACCGTCTGCCCACCTTGCTGGGCAGCCAGCCCAGGCTACAGCGGTGGGCTGTCCAGCACAGCCTCCAGGTCAGCAGCAGCAGCAACAAGACTGCCAGCATCAGGCTGTGTAGACATGACAGAGACAGGTCTGTCCAGGTGGCCACAGACAGGCCCGGCTGCTCCCAGGCACCTAGCCGCTTTGGGGCCAGGCCCAAGGCCCGGGCACAGCCCAGCATGCCTGTCCACACCAGCCTGGGTGCCCGCAGCACCAGCCGCACAGGAACCTCCATCAGTGCCAGTCCAGCCCGGAGAACCCGGCCCATGGGGCAGGCTGTGAGTGCCGGGGGCAGTGAGTGGGCCTGCCAGCCACGGGACCCCTGGGCCTCCTGGGCCAACCCCGACAGCCAGTGGTTGAAGAGGACGATCTTGAGGAGCAAGAAATTATAGAGGCGGACCCGGTTCTGGACCAGCTGCAGGAGAAGGAGAGACAGTCACCACCCACCGTCACTCACTCGGGGAGGAACCCCACCTGCTCCCTGTTTTACTGTGGGGGGCGCTGCCAGGCCACCTCATGCCAGGCCTTCCCCATCTCAAGGCCTCAGTTTCCCCACACACAAGAATGAACTTTATCTGTCCACTTCTAAGGACTTCACTCTTAGGGAGGGAGATTTAGAAGATGTTTCATATTATATTTGGTTTTTTGTGTGTGTGAGGAAGATCAGCCCTGAGCTAATATCCGATGCCAATCCTCCTCTTTTTGTTGAGGAAGACGGGCCCTAGACTAACACCTGTGCCCATCCTCCTCCACTTTATATGGGACACCGCCACAGGATGGCTTGACAGGTGGTGCGTCGGTGCGCACCCGGGATCCAAACCTGCGAACCCCGGGCCACTGAAGCGGAGCGCACACACTTAACCACTTGCGCCACCAGGCTGGCCCTATATTTGGTTTTAAATGGTTATTTATAATACTCCAGACTGAAGGAGGTGGATTTATTATTATTATTATTATCATTGTTATTATTATATAAGGAATGACCCTTAGCCCTTTCATCCTGTGGGATTTGAACCCAGGTCGGTTTCATCTCACAAACACCTGGGCTTTCCTGCACATCAGTTGCCTCTTGGTTTCATGAGGGCAGCTAGGGGTGAAGGGGAGTGCCCTTAGGGGTAGGGAGATGTGAGGCATGGGGGGCAGTGACAGCATTAATGACTGACCCACTGCAAGAGCTGAAGGAGAGGAAGGGACCCAAAAAGATATCCAGATTTCTGTCCTGGGTGACAGGGTGGATGTGATGGCTCCCATCCACTGGAAGGAAGAGTGGGGTTGGGGGGGAAGGGTCTGAAAACGAGGAAGTCTCACCTGAGTCCTGGAGCTGAACAGCCCCTCCTCACAGCCCTAAAGCCCCCAGCCCCTAAGTAACGCCAACCCACCCATCTGGACCCCACATGCCCCTTTCCACAGGACCACCTGGAGCCCTAAGTGACTGTTGTGGGAGGCAGACATCTGGGATTGGCTGTGTGCCCCACCATGGGTGGGATCAGCAGAGCTGAGGGGGTGGGGCCATGCTGGGAAAGGAAGGGAACCCAGGGGTTCAGCTAGGAGAGGAATTAGGATGGAGGGAGGTGATGGTGCTCAGGGCAAGCTGCCCCAGGAAGCACCACTCTGGTATGTGGATTATTTCGAGCTGAAGACAATAAGGACTCAGAGAGCTCAGGAAAAATATTTGAGTTTCCCCTCCCAAACTGCCTAAAGAATTTAAAACAAAAAATCTGTTTTAGGAAGGAATTATTATCATGACTGCTATAAAAGATAATTTAGGATAGAGGTTACAATAGAAAAGGCACCAACAAGCCCATCTTATCGGGAGTTCTGTCTCTCTGGCCACATTCTTTGGATGGCCCTGCGAGGAGTTGTCAGACAATCATTTACAAGGGAAGTCTCCATTTGTAAAGGTATCTCCCTCTCTGTATTGGGAAAAGGGGGCGGGGAGCTCATTTCTAGTAACTTATCAATGTGGAAGGTGAGGCCTCGGGGCTGTATAATAAACCTTACTCTTGTTTACTGTGCTTTAGTGGTAATCTCCTGTAACTGACTCCCCCCACCCCCAAAATCCTCCTTTGTCATTGGCTGAAAATGATATTTAAGACGAGAATTTCTGCTATTGTGTTGAGAAACGCAGTGTCCCTGCTTTCTCCCATGTGTACATGTTATTAAACTTGGTATTATTTTCTCCTGCTAACCTGTCTCGTTGATTATTTGGCCAGCCAGAAGAACCTTAAGGGAAAGGGCAGAGGGAGATTCTCCCTCTTCCCCCGACAGAGGAAACAGGAGCTGGCCGCCAGCTTATGATGTTGAGACCAGGGAGGAGAGAAACATACGGTACCCCACAAGATCCATTATAGGAGAGGAAATAGCCTCAGAGAGGTGGAGTAATTTGCCCAGAGCCACACAGCTAAAGAGTGGAACAGCCGAGATTCAAATCCAATTGTCTGTCTCTTTCGACTGCACCGTGTAATCTCCACTTCCTATGCTACAGTTGAAGACCCAGGGGACCCTCTTCTGATAACTCAGCCCTCTGAGGAGTTGTGATTTGGAGATGTGGCCCCGGTCGTCAGCATTTGCATGTTTGAAAAAGATGGATGGGAAGGGCAACGCTTAACCCTATATAGAGAAAATACCAGCACTGTGGCTTGGGGGTGGGACTTCTGGGAGCCGTCAGACAGGCAGTCAGCTAGTTCCACGGTCGGGACAGGTCGGCAGGATCCAGCAGCTCTGAGGTGGCTGTGAAGGGCCAGGTGTGTGGCCCCCACCCTCTGCCCCTCACCCCCACTCACCAGCACTGAGAGCTTCCCCACCAGTAGCAGAATCCCCACAAGGCTGGATCTCACAGGAGGGACAACCTCCATGTCCGGCCCTCCTACCCCTCCTCCAGCTGGGAGAGGCAGGGTGACCTCACAGATGCCACAGGTGCGGGCCAAGTTACCATGGGGACCCAGTTGCCACAAGAGACCCCCTTTCCCTGCCTCCCCCCCTGGAGGAGGTCCTCGGCGCCCGCAGGAGGCCGCGGAAGCAGCAGTGCGCACAGAAGCTGGGGCAGAGGGTGGGCGGGCGCTGCGCCTCCCACATCCCTCCAAACCCCATGATAGCAAAGGCCTAGGAAATAGAAATCTTCCCCCAGGGCCACAGGTGCCGAAATGTGGACAGACAGACAGAAGCCTCAGCTGCCCGAACCTGAAGGCCCTACCTAAGCGCCCCCATTCATTCCTGCATTTTGCTAAAGGTTGGGCCCCAGTCACAAAGCAGAGAAATTAGGTTGTGACCTTTATTCTCAGGTCTTAGTAATGTCTCGGTGGGTTCTGAGACCAGGGAGAGAGAAAATGTGCCGACATAAAGGCCTCGGAGTGTCCCGGAGAGGGGCAGGTTCTGAGCGAAGGAGGGCAATTTGCTGAGCCAGCCCCCTCGGGGCCACAAGGGGCCAGAGGAGGCCACAGGCGGCCTGCAGCATCTTGGAGAGGTGGCGGAACCTGGCGTTAGGGTCAAAGAATTAGAATTCTGGGAGAGCCCAGAACTTTGAGCACAGTGTTTCTTACCTTGCTTTCCTGTCTGGGTCCCGGCAGGTGGCCCCAGGAGGCTGCAGGACCACGCTCTCATGACATTCAGAAACTTTAAAAAGCACGCACTCTGGTGGACAGGGCGCTATGAGGGCAGGGCTCTGTGAGGAGAGGCCCCCTCTGTGCAGATTGGAAGGGTGGGTGCTGCCCGGGCCCTTGCTCACAGTGTGATTTCAGTCCTCACTCACTCCCTCAGCCAGGCACACTTGTGCAGGATACAACCTGCCCAACTGTACAGGGCAGCCTGCCATAACGAGTCCCTGGAATGTCAACCATGACTTTTGCCCAGGGCAGTCCTGTTCGCCCATTCATTCCCTCCCCTGGAGCAACAGCTGGAGGGTGGAATGTGCAAAGTCCCTCCACTCTGTCTTCTGCCCTGGCCCCTCCTCCACCCACTCTCTATGTCTCCAACACTATGGCACTGAGAGGTCACTGGGGCTTTAGAAAGGCCTCCTTGAGCTAAGTTTTGAAGCGTGGGTAGGAGTTTTCCAGAGAAGAAAGTGTGGAGCATGGTCGAGGCAGAGGAAACAGCATGATTCAAACAATTCAGTATTACTAGAGCGGGGAGGAGCACAAAGTCGGCAAGGGCCACAAAGGTCATGGAATATTCTATTAAAGGACAGAAGCCATTGAAGAACGGAGGATGAAAGGCAAGTGGAGATCGCTGGGGGCTTTAGAACAGTCCCTCCAGCTGCATGAGGAGGCTAGACTGGGGGGAGTGGGGGCCTGGGGGGAGATCAGATAGGAACCCACAACAATAAACCCTCCAGGCGTGAGATGATGGGAGCCTGGACCAGGGCTGTAGCGCTGGGAATGGGGAGAAGCGGACAGATGCCAGAAACGTGTGGAAGGTGGAACTGACAGAGTCCCACTGTCAAGAACAATGAAAGGTCCAAGACTGCACCCTGCTTGCGCGCTAACCCGTCAGCCCGGCAGAGTTCCTCGGATGCCGGGAGAAGGCACAAGCCTCCTGGGTCAGAGCAGAAGGACAATTTACTACTCACAGCACTAGCAGTAAACTAGAGTATACGTATTTTGCATTGGTTCTTTGAGGCCCGAATCCCACGAGTGACGTGAAAAGGGTCAGAGGACACCTGTACACAGAGTGAGCATATCACAGAAGAGAGACTCGGAGCCTAGGGAACCCGAATCTTTTAGAACGGGCAGTAAGCAAGCCTGCCCTTTGCTCCAGAGGTTGACACTGTGTCTTCCAAGGTGGTTCGATACACAGACATCCTGGAAGAGATCATCCAGAACAAAGAGCAAGAAATTCCCGTGCAGAAACACGAGAGACCAGTGGAGAATCATCTCCCAACAGAGAACTGACTAAGAAGAGAGGTAAAGTGAGGCAGGGGTCGAGGATCCCCCTCAGAAGGCTTGGGCAGAAGGCAGATGGTGGTGCTGCAGCCCACCAAGGTGGGGCGGGGAGGAGGAGCAGGTTTGGGGAAGGGTGTCAGGTAGGGAGGGCTGAAACTATAATTTGCAACTCGTTTTCCCTCCTCTCTTTGGCTTGCCCCGCCCCTGCCATCAGCCAGCATTGCCATACCCAGAATTCCACTGTCACCAAGGCTGAGTTGATGGTCTTCAGCCTCATATTGACCCAACTCCCTGCACCTCGTGGTCCAGGCTGGAGCTGGAGTTGCAAAGACCTCACTCTGCACCACTGCTCCCAGGGTGGCTTCTCAGGGTGCCTCTCAAGTCCCATTAAAATGCCAGGCCCAGGTCTCAGGCTCAGCACCACTCAGCTGTCCCCCACCGACGCCAGAGCCCTCATCGTGGTCCCCAAGCTGGATTTCAGCAAGGTCTCTCTGTGGCTCTGTGGCTGCCTAGACCACAGGCGGGGAGGGACACAGAGGGGCCACAGGGCTGGAAATCTAGTGATGGAGATTGGAGGCCTCCCCCGGAGTGTGAAACCCACACAGGACCTCCCCCTAGCTAGCTTGGGGAACACAGCCCCAGCCGTGCGGTCCCATGGGTGGGAAAACCCAGCATGGCCCGTCACCCTCCTTCCTCATCTTCACTTCAAGCCGCCTCTGCAGGCCAAGACCATGAATCCTGTTCACTACAGTGCCCCACGCCTAAAAGCGTTGAGTTCATAGTAAGAGCTCCCTAAATATTTGTTCCATTAATAAATGAGTAACGGCCTCCAAGATCCCTCCCTGCCAGGATGGACATGAGGATGGCACAGGCTGCTGCAGAAGGCCCCCCGACTTTGGATCCTTCAGCAGGCAGTCATCAGCCCCTTCTCTTTCCTACTCAGTACCTAGGTTCAAGGCCATCCGTGCACCCTTGTGCCGCGTGGCCTTGGGCAATACCTCCCCTCCAGGGTCTCATCTTGCAAGGTAACAGGGAGGACTAGGTGGGGTAACCCAGTTATCAGTGGCTGCTGCCTTGCCCGACCCCAGGGAGCGCCATTCCCCGGCCCCTGCCCGGTCCGCGGAGAGCCCCCTCCCCTGCCCAGGACGGAGGGCGAGAGGAGAGGCGGGAAGCCCCCGCGCCTTCCGCGCAGCCCGGCGCCCGAGAGGCTCCAGCGCGCTCCCCTGCGGGTGCGGGACGGCGGCGCGCCGCGCGGGGGCAGCAGAGACCGGGGGCGCGCCGCACAGTGGTGGAAAGTTTTCGGTTGGCTGTTTGTTTCTTCTTAGCCCGCGAGGCCGGTTTCCCTGCGACAACAACCGTGCGTCACCCCGAGGAGCTCACCTGGTGCAGCTCGGGTCATGCCTGGGTTGCTGGAGGTGAAACCACCGAGAAAGGATCAGGACCCATATTCTCCCTCCTTCTTCCATGTTCCAATGTTAAAACTTCACTTTATTTCAAATCCTCACTCATTTTTTTTTCCCCAGAAGGACACAAAAATGATAAATATGCCTTCGTACTTATTGGAACTTGTATTTTTTTTTTCCTTCTAAAGATGGCTTTATCGAAGCCACTTAGGTGCAAGCATAATGATTAAAAACTTAGGAAAGCCTGAGGGTCCCACCCTGGTTCAGGGAAAAGGTTCTGCAGTTGGCCAGACTTGGGTTTGAACTGACCTCTGCCGCTTAATTACAAGTCTGTGCTCCTAACCCGAAGTTCCTTATTTGTACGACTTTGTAGAACCTACCAGGTGAGGTTGCTGGGCAGAGTCAATGAAATGGGGTCTGTGAAGTGCTGTGAGTGTCCCTGGCCCCACACCCATGCTCCGGGGCTGGTGGGTAAGTGAAGTCAGCATCTGTGGGTGAAAAGGCACCCAAGAATTTTTAACAGCAAAATAAACTACAAACTGGAAAAAAATTGCTTTAAATTATGTGCAAATTTGTAAAAAGAAGTCACCCCCAGGGTGCACCAAAATTGTATGAATTGGTAAACCAATATGTGGAGATACTCATTTCAAGCAAACTGCTTTCAGGCAATTCACTTGGAGCCCAAGACTAGATTTTTAAATTCAAAAAAAACACTGCCAGATATAAAGAAGGATCATTGCTGCCTTAAAACTAATTCAAAATTTTTTAACACAAAAATGAATGAAAATGCTTTAAAAGTGTTCTTTAGGGCTGGCCTGATGGCCTAGTGGTTAAGTTCATGTGCTCTGCTTCGGCGGCCGGGGTTCGGGGTTCAGATCCCGGATGCGGACCTACGCACCGCTTATCAAGCCATGCTGTGGTGGCATCCCACATACAAAATAGAGGAAGATGGGCGCGGATGTTAGCTCAGGGACAATCTTCCTTAGCAAAAAGAGGAAGATTGGCAAGGGATGTTGTTAGCTCAGGGCCAATCTTCCTCACCAAAAATAAAAAATAAAATAAATAAATAAAAGTGTGCTTTAAAAGGATATAAAGTTGCCAAACCATCCCTTTGTTCAAAAACATTATTCACCCCCAAAATAAAAGTTTGGATAAATGGACAAAAACGTATAAATGTCAGCCACAAATTGCAAAGTCACACTTGTGAGACACAAAAATCATCAACATATGAGAAAACAGCAATGGGAAATATGATTTTCACCAACTTATTTATTGATCAGTTCATTCAGAACCAACATGTTTAGTGCATTTGTTTTCTGCCAGCTCACCAAGCCTCTCTCTGGAATGTTCTCCCACCCACCGCCCACCCATCCTACCACTCCCTCTCTCTCCTCGCTCTTTTCTCTACCGGGCCTCTTGAGTCCTAAAGAAAACATCCCTCCCTCCGTTGAAGGGTATTTAGGTTGTGCCCCTGTCTTGGCCATTGTGAAGAAGGCTGCAGTGACCACGGGGTGCAGCTGTCTCGTCCCCACCCTTATGTCAGTTCCTTTGGATAGACACCCAGAGGTGGGACTG